GGCCGGTGGCTGCTGGCCCAGGGCACAGCGAGGAGGGCGCTCTCTGAGGCCGGGTCGGCCCGGGTTTCGGGCGGCTGACCGCTGGGCCGGGCAAGGCACCGAGGGTCGTGGTCCCCTCTCCTACGTCTCCGACGCCTGGTCTCTAAAGCCAGAAGAGAAGGTTGGATCCAGCAACTGTTTCTTTTCCGGGTCGCTCTGATCCTCTGGATACTGGGTTGATCTACGGAATAACCGAAGACGACGTTTGGGATTTAATTTTTCCTCTCAGTTTTTGGAATCTTTCACTTCTCACTTGGACAAGAACTCAAGAGCAAAATTCCCGGTGAGATTCCCCCTCCCCCCTCTGCCTTGGGAAGTTTGGTTCGTGTTATCGAAAGATTTAAAGTTTTTATTTCTTTTTCCGATGGGTGTACCACTGGGACGTCTTTCCTAAGGACGGATGGCGAGATTTCCCATCTTTCTGGCCTGGCCCAGGCGGCCCTCGCCCAGTGGGTGCAGACACGGTGTTCTCTCGGCCGTGAGCGAAGGCTTCCTCCGGGAGGACACTGCCACGAACTGTTCTGGCAAACTATGTCATCGGGTCTCTGGTCTCCTAGCAGTTCTGAAAGGATGCTGTTAATGTGGCCGTAATGTAGTTACAGAAGAGGGAAATTTTGTATTCCCAAAGGAAGCCATTATCCGTTAAGAATATTAAGAAAAATGAAAGCCCTTGCTTGGTATTAGGGATGGACTGTCGCGCCAGCCCTTCTTTAAGTTTTGGAAAGGTTGTGTTTTGTTCTCATGAATAGATCGAGTTGTTTCATTTATTACTATATCCGAAAAGATCAAACTTAAATTTTGTCTATCTGCAACTCTCGGATTTGTTTCTGAGTTCTGCATATATTGTATTGGGTGGAGGGTAGGTCTGGGAAAGAAAGGCGACAGTGTGTATTGCCTTACTGGAGGGGTATGGGAAATCGCTTTGGAATCTTTTTTTAAATTCTGATTTCTTGTCCTTTTTAAAAATAGTAGTCTGCCCTTCTTTCCCGTAGTTTCTAATTACCAGTGTAAGAACTATTTTGGTTGGATCTGGATTAATTCAGGCGTGCTTCACCTGGTCGGCTCTCTAGAGATCGGAGTCCTGAGGTTTTTGTTTTGTTTTCCATTTCCTTTTCTCTCTCTCTCTCTCTCTCTCTCTCTCTCTCTCTCTGTCTCTCTCTTTCTTTCTTTCTTTCTTCCTTCTTTCTTTCTTTCCTTCCTTCCTTCCTCCCTCCCTCCCTCCCTCCTCATTATTATTATTTTATTTTTTTTTTGGCTATGCAGCCATAAAGGGGAGCTTTGGTAATTGCCGTCCCGTGGGCAGAAATAAGTGATGGTCTGTCCGCAAGGAACTGAAACCAACATCTTTTGCTTAGGCCTTGGACAGTTGTATGTGGTGATTAATGTTGAACGTGACATGGAACCACTTGCCCAAGAGCGGAAAGGTCCCAAACTCATGGAGAGGAATCTGATTTCTCAAAGAGTCTTTAAATTACACCTTAAATACAGTACTCTTTTCTGTGGAAAGAAAGCATAAGTTTGAGAATGAGTTCTCATCTTTCATATCATTATTCTTTAGTGTTGCAATCTGGTTCCTAAGGAGAAAGAGGAAGGCAGTCCTGGAGTGGTTTCTTTATAGCAATTTCAACAGAAGAGTGAGAGATGGAACCCGAAGAAGAAAGAATTCGTTACAGCCAGAGATTGGTTAGTATTTTCTTTCTTTTTTTTTCTTTTCTCCAGTTTTGAACTAGAGTAACTATTTTGTTTTCATTTGTGAATTTAGTGTTACTAAACTTTTCAGGTGACTTTTCTGTGTACCAGTTAAGGGGGATTATACATTAATATTAATGTGAGACATTAATATATTAATACCTCATTTGAGTTTTGGCCAAGTAGTTTGGAGCCTTAATATGCATCATGTTTGAAGATGGAATTACAGCTTTAACTTTTGTAGAAACCATTGCAAATCAGAGGATTTAGATTACAATGAGACAAGATTCCCAATTTTACAATACTGAGACTATAATAAATCTAACTGAATAAATTACATTAGAATGTATAATTTAGGAACAAAACAGTTTGAGAAAATATGGTTGTATATCATTTTGTTAGGATTATGTGGTACCAGGATTTGTACTTTTTGAGATGGGGAGTAAAGCTGTGGATTTTATTAATAAATTAACACTTTGGTAGGTTTGCAGAGTTGTTGAGTGATTGAGAATAGAATAAAAGATGTTGATGAAGTTCTGTATTTTGGGAGGAAATGTGAGATACATGTTGAAAGAAATTTTAGTCATTTGGAGAGATTAACTTGTGTGTGCATATGCTTCCTTTTCATTGTTTTCCTATTGGAGTTTAAGATTTGTTTTCCTCAAAGAGACCTTTATTAATACTCTAACTATATATTCATTTCAGAAAAATTGAACTTGTATTTATGGAGTGAGATATGAGGAAGCCACAGAGTTGTATGTATTATGTAAAATTTGCTGAACTGAAAGGCCTAGAATATTACTAAAGGAATTTATGGTGGTTTTATTTGGCCCTGCATTTTAGACTGAGTTTGTAGGAAAAAGAATGATTTTCTAATCCATTTTCTGTTGATCCTCACTCTTTTTGAGCAAGGCTGCATTTTTAAAAATGTGATTGTTTAAAAGGTTTGGTGTATATTATCAGGCAGGCATATCTTTTAGCCTCATTTTAGTGATTTGCTACTTGTTCTCAATCCATGTGTTGCAGTTACACTTCGTTATGTCTAAGTGTTTAAGTGACAGTGTATAGTAATGGACTTTTTATAATTGTACAAATGTTTAGAATTTGTTTTGACATTCTAACATTTGAATTCAACTTTTTTGGTCAGAGAAAAGGAGGGTACTACAAAATTCCTTTCTCAGGTAGTAATTGCTATGTGGAATTCCTACTTATCTTGTCAAGCTGAGGTTTTTTTCTATTAAGATAGGGTGTTACTTTGTAGCTCAGGCTAGCCTTGAACTTGTGGTGATCCTCCTGCCTCAGCCTCCCAAGTGCATTACTGCACCTAGCAAGGCTAAAGGCTGAGAATTTCTGAACTGTTAGGTAGATATCTGAGAGATCTTAGGATTTACAGAAAGGGTTTTTCAGCAAGCAAAACTTTTCATGTTTATAACAAGGTAGAGTGGTATAATGGTAAGATACAAGCAAAGACTTTTTTCCTGGTAAGACATTTCTTTATTTTAATTGTAAGATGATTGCTACCAGTTGCACACATTAACCTTTACCTTGTCTAGCATGTTTTTTTTTGGTAAACATGCTATTGAGCAGTTTTATATAACATGAAAACCTTTTTTTTTTTTTTTGGTATTGGAGACCAAACTCCGTACCTTGAGCTGTGAGCTGGCGGCCGCACCACTGAGCTACATCCCTGGCCCAGTTTTGTATAAGAGAGTACATCATATATTTTGGGGCTCTTTCTCAGAATTTTGAATAACGATTTTGAAGTTTAGGGTAACTAATGTCTGTTTTCTATGATTACATGACAAATGTATATTTCAAGTATAAATACCTTCTATAATGTAACTTTTTTTGTGTGCAGTACTGGGGATTGAACCGAGAGGCTTCCCACTGAACTATATCCTGAAGCCCATTTTTAAATTTTTAAGACATTGTCACTGAATTGTTCCAGGATCTTCCTCCTTCATTCTCTGAGTGCTGTGATAAGAGAATGTGTAGGTGGCTTATTTGAATATCAGTCTGTCTATGAAACTTTTTTTGTTTGTTTGGTTGGTTTTTTTTGGTGGGGAGATACTGGGGATTCAATCCAAGGCCTCATGAGTATGAGGTAAGCACTGTATCACTGAGTTACATCCCCATCCCTTTTTTTTTTTGAGACAGTGTCTTAAGTTGCCCAGGATGGCCTGGAATTTATAATCCTCCTGCCTCAATTTCTCAGGTAGGTGGGATTATAGGCATGTGTTACTGTGAATGGCTGAAACTTAATGTTTCTGTGTAGTGAGTGCTCATATTATAGCTTTTTTAGAGCATAAGCTCTACTTTCTGGAATTAGAATGCTTATTTTGCAGTGTTGGAGTTGAAAAGCTAGGAAATGACAAAAGTGGGTAACTAATGTTTGGGGTTTTCTTAAGCAAGACTTAGCTTTGTTTAAATGAAAATTTTAATCTTTTTATGGATAAATTATTAGTCCAAGTTAGATCTTATTTGAGGAGTTTTAAGACTAACAAAAGGCAGGGTGAAGAACTTCCATTAAATGAAGTACTGAAAAGTTTTAAAATTTTTTCCTCTCTCTCTCTCTCTCTCTCTCTCTCTCTCTCTCTCACACACACACACACACACACACAGAGTATATTCTTTTTTTCTTTTTGCATGGTGATGGGATGAAACCCAGGGCTTCCTTCATGCTAGATAAGGGCTCAACCACTGAGCTGTACTGCCAACCCTGTTGTGTCTTTCTACTGTTTTGTTTTGTGGTTACTAACAAGGGAACATAAAGTTGGAAAGAAAAAAAATGCTAGGTTAATTAATTTGGCTTAGTGGTTAAAATTTGTGTAATACCATGCTATATTTAATTGTTAAATTTAATTGAATCACAAAATACGTTGCATTAGAGTGTTATTGACAATTATTAATGTATTAGGGGACAAAATCTTTGTGATCATCATTCTTTGGCATACCTTCAAAATAGCCTCTTGGGAGAGAAATCACAGTCTAAATTTTAAAAGTCGGAGTCTAAATTTGTTTTGGGATAAAATTGACTTATATACAGGACTCTACCCTTTTTTTTTGGATTTTGAGACAGGGTCTCACTATGTAGTTCAGACTGCTCTGGAACTCACTGTGTAGTCCAGGCTGGTTTCGAACTTGCATCTATCCTCCTGCCTCAGCCTCCCAAGTGCTGGGATTACGACATGCACCACCAAGCCCGGCCAGGACTCTACCTATCTTAAAGAAAAAGTGGTATCCCCTACCCCATATGGTCCTTGAGCTTGTGAGGCAGGCGGCGAGAACCACTGAGCTAAGTAAATCCCTGGCCCAAAAAGTTGTATTCTTATTAATAAGAACTTCATATTTGAATATAGCCTTTTACTTTTTTTTTCTACTGTAGCTATTTTGAGTACATAGTTGAATCTGTTAAACCAGATTTTGATATGTCTAATCACCTTTGTGACAAGTCGTTTTTGTTGTTTGTCTGTTTGAGGTGGGGTCTCGTAATGTATCACTCATGGTGATTCTCTTGCCTCATGCTCCTGAGTGCTGGAATTATAAGTGTGTGCCAAGCCTGGCAGGTTCTTAAAAATCAGAAATAGTTTTAAAATTTGTATTTTCCCAAAGTAATTTTGAAGGAGATAGATAGATAGATTGATTGATTGATTTGAGGCATAAGCTTTACTTTCTGGAACTAGAATGCTTATTTTATCATGTTGGAGTTGAACAGCTAGGAAATGACAGAAGTGGATAATGTTTGGGTTTTCTTAAACAAGACAGCCGTGTTTGTTTAAATGAAAATTTTAGTCTTTTTTTATGGATAAATTATTAGTACAAAGCCAGATTTTCCAAAGTAGGTGTTTGTACCTGTGGATGTACTCCAGTGGGAGGAATAGAAGTTTCATTTTGGTGATGGTGTGGTATTTGGTTGTCCTGAGGTATAAAGATGATTTATTTCTGTATTTCTGGTAATTTTGAATATAGGGCCTTATTAAGAAATATTGGCACATACTAAGCATGGAACCTTTTTCTTATATATATATGTATTTGGTTTGAATAGCCAAGTACTGGAGTGGTTTTGAGTTTTGTCACTTCATATTTACTTATTTGCTTATTGAGAATATTTAGTATAGTATCTTACAATTCTAAATCTAAATTGTTAAATTCATAAAGCTATATGGGATTGGGAGTATAGCTCAGTGGTAAAGCATTTGCCTAGCAGGCTGGAGGCCCTAAATTCAATGCTCAGCACCATATTAAAAAAATGAAAACGGGGCTGGGGATTTAGCTCAGTGGTTCTGCCGCCTGCCTCACAAGCACAAACCTGAGTTCTGATAGATAGATAGATTGATTGATTGATTTGAGGCATAAGCTTTACTTTCTGGAACTAGAATGCTTATTTTATCATGTTGGAGTTGAACAGCTAGGAAATGACAGAAGTGGATAATGTTTGGGTTTTCTTAAACAAGACAGCCGTGTTTGTTTAAATGAAAATTTTAGTCTTTTTTTATGGATAAATTATTAGTACAAAGCCAGATTTTCCAAAGTAGGTGTTTGTACCTGTGGATGTACTCCAGTGGGAGGAATAGAAGTTTCATTTTGGTGATGGTGTGGTATTTGGTTGTCCTGAGGTATAAAGATGATTTATTTCTGTATTTCTGGTAATTTTGAATATAGGGCCTTATTAAGAAATATTGGCACATACTAAGCATGGAACCTTTTTCTTATATATATATGTATTTGGTTTGAATAGCCAAGTACTGGAGTGGTTTTGAGTTTTGTCACTTCATATTTACTTATTTGCTTATTGAGAATATTTAGTATAGTATCTTACAATTCTAAATCTAAATTGTTAAATTCATAAAGCTATATGGGATTGGGAGTATAGCTCAGTGGTAAAGCATTTGCCTAGCAGGCTGGAGGCCCTAAATTCAATGCTCAGCACCATATTAAAAAAATGAAAACGGGGCTGGGGATTTAGCTCAGTGGTTCTGCCGCCTGCCTCACAAGCACAAGGACCTGAGTTCAATCCCTGGTACCGAAAAAAACAAAAAACAAAAACAAAAAAATCTGTAGTTGTGGTGGCATACTCCTCTAATCCCAGGATTTAGGAGGTTGAGGCAGAAGAATTGCTGCCAGTTTGAGGCCAGCCTGAGATACATAATGAGTTCAAGGCCAGCCTGAACTATATATAATGAGACCCTGTCTTTTTTTTTTTTTTTGAGATCATGTCTTAAAAAAACAACAAAAAAACCCCCCCAAAATCCATAAAGCTATACTTGGTGAACTTTTAGGTTTTTGTAACCATATTGCCCCTGCATAATACTTATTAATGTCTAGGAAAACCAAAGGCAAAATAACATTCACCTACTATGCCTGCTTGTATTATCTGAAGGAGAAGATGCTGATAATTCAGTTTGCTTGTCAATCTTGATGATGAGATTAAGAGATTTTCTAAAGGATATTATTATCCTATTGGATGTTCAATCCTGCTAACTTTGGTAGCATATGACTCTGTAATATAGTTCAGGCTTTTTATCTGTTTCTGGGAACTGGGAGCATTGAAGTCCTGGTGATAGACCCAACTTATCCTGAAATTGTCTTTCCAAATTCAGCAACAATTACCATATTATCCATTCAACAAACATTCTTGCTTGAGTGACCCCACTTTAAGGTCTTTGACGAGGACTAGACTAGGCAAAATGGAATACATTTTTTAAGTCTTTTGTGTTTCCTGGCGTGAACGTATCATACTCTGTGCATGTATGTGTGTTTTATGTTTTTGTTTTTTGAGAACAGGGTCTAGCTGTGTAGTCCAGGCTGGCCTTAACTCTATGTAGTTTAGACTAGTTTCAAACTTGCAGTGATCTTTCTGCCTCAGTCTCTTATTTTAAGCCTCTTGAGTTCTGGAATTAGAGAAGCATGTGGGAACACTTCAGGCTTTTATGTTACAACTAGAAAAAAATTATAGGGGCCCGGGGATTTAGCTCAGTGGTTCCGGTGCCTGCTTCGAAAGCACAAGGGCCTGAGTTCGATCCCAAGTACAAAAAAAAAAAAAAAATCTATATATGTGTGTGTGTGTGTGTGTGTGTGTGTGTTACAAATTGCTGCTTTTGCTTATTTCATGAGATTTCTCCTTCATTATGTATTTAGTAGAGGACAACTCTTATTTGTTTATTTTGGAGACATGGTCTTGCCATGTAATTCTGGCCAGCCTTGAACTCACTATGTAGCTGGGGCTGGCTTTGAACTCACACCAGTCCTCCTGCATCAGCCTCCTGAGTGCTGGAATTACAGATGTGAGCCACCACACTCAGTAGCACTCTTCTGATTTTTGCAGTTTCCTTCCTAATAATGTAGTTGAAAAATTTGTTTTCAGGTTATTTAAAATGAAGATGAAGCCAGGCATGGTGGTGCATGTCTGTAATCCCAGCACTCATCCCAGCACTCCAGAGGCTGAGGCAGGAGGATCGCTGTGAGTTCGAGACCAGCCTGGGCTACACAGTGAGTTCCAGAGCAGTCTGAACTACATAGTGAGACCCTTTCTCAAAAAGCCAAAAAAACAAAACAAAACAAGAACACAAATAAAATGCAGATGAAGGAGCTTATCCTTTGTTTTTTTGGTTTTGTTTTGTTTTGTTTTGTTTTGTTTTGTTTTTGGTACCCGCAATCGAACTCGGGCCCTTACTATTTCCAGGCAGGCGGAGAAACCTTTGAGCTAAATCCCTGCCCCCAAGGAGCTTATTCTTTATTCTTACATAGTAAAATACATTTTGGACATCCAGAGTGAGGACTGTATTTAAGCCCTATAATTTTATCTTGTTTTATTTTGCTGAGTATTAATCACTGCTATGCCTACTATTAATGCATAGCTTTCTACTTGAGTGTAAACTATTGAGATGTTCGTATTTTGTTTTGTTTTTTTGGTTTCTTTTTTTGTTTGTTTGTTTTTTTGGTTTTTGGTTTTTTTGAGACAGGCTCACTGTGTAGTTGAGACTGACCTGGAACTCACTATATAGCCCAGGCTGGTCTTGAACTCACAGCGATCCTCCTGCCTCAGGCCCACCCCCCCCCCCCAGTGCTGGGATTACAGGTGTGAGCCACAAGGCTGGCTTTTTTTTTGGTTTCTTGAGACAGGGTTTTGCTGTGTAGCCCAGGCTGGCCTTGAGCTTGAGCCATCATGCTGCCTCAGCCTCTCAAATTCTGGGATTACAGGTGTGTGCCACCATACCTGGCTCAGGCTGCTTTTGTTTGTTGCTTATGCTTTATACTGAATGCTTCAAGTAGTGCCTAATATATAGTATGTATTAAAGTATTTGTTGATATTATTGAGAGTCCTGATGGTGTACTTTACTTGGGCGTACTTTAATATCTTTTTTTTTTTTTTTGAGACAGGATCTCTTGTAGCCCAGACTAGCCTCAAACTCACAGTGATTCTCCTGCCTCAGCCTCCCTGTTGCTGGGATTTCAGGAGTGTGCCCCCACACTTAGACACTATCAATTTTCTGCTAGGAATAGGTCATTGGAGTGGAGGAGAGTTTGGAATATAGAGATGAACATCCTATCTGAGTGTTGAGTCTTGCAGTGTAGATAAGAACCAGAAGGTCTAAGCTCTAACATAAAATTTTAGGTTGAAGGTGGGCAGAACATATCTGTAATCTCAACTCTCTAGGAGGGTGAGGCAGTACAGTATCTCAAATCTGAGCCCATTCTGGGCAGTTTTACCATTCAGAAAGATTCTGTCAAAAATAAAAAGGTCTAGCCAGGGATTTAGCTCAGTGATTCTGCTGCCTGCCTCACAAGCACAAGGACCTGAGTTCAATCCCTGGTACCAAAAACAAAAACAAAATAAAAAAGGGTGGGCCTGTAGCTCAGTGAGAAGACTCTCAGTTATTTCTAGTAGAAACTAACACTTAGCTTTAGCATACATGTCAGGGTAAACATGTTTAAAGTAGCTGGATCACTAAGACAAACAAAATGTCTAGTTGACTTTTTTCCCTTAGTTGACTTTATTTTTTGAGAAAGGGTCTCACTATGTAGTCTAGGCTGACTTTGAACTCACTATATAGCCCAAGCTGGACTTGAACTCCTGGTGATCCTCCTGAGTGCTAAGATTATAGGCATGTACCACCGCACCTGGCTCTAGTTGATTTTAAAAATACACTCTGAGCTGAGCACAGTGGCACACACCTGTAATAACCCTGACACTTAAGGGATAGTTGTGGCAGGAGGGTCAAAAATTTGAGTCTCACTTGTGCAATTTAACAAGGTCCTGTTTCAAAAAATAAAAAAGGGCTAGGAATGTAATTCAGTAGTAGAGTGATTGCCTAGTGTGTATGAGGCCCTGGGTTACATTCCCAACATTACAGAATAAAAAACAATAAACATCATTTATTTGTTTATGCTTCTCTTTTTTCTTTAATAAACATATGTGCCGAATGCTAGGTTAAATTTTTACATATATTTTACTTTAATCCTCAAACCAACTCTTTAAGATGGGTATGGTATAGTTTTTGTTTGTTTGGTTTGTTATCAGTACTCAGAATTGAACTCAGGGCCTTCATACTGAGCTATATCCCCAGCCTTTTATTTTTTATTTTGAGACAAGGTCCTGTAAGTCATAAGCTTCCCAGACAACTTGCAATCTTGCAGCCTTCCTTCTTTAGCCTCACGAAGTGTTGGGATTACAGGTGTGTACCACCGTGCCCAGTTTTGTGTGTTTGAGTGCATTGAGTGTGCATGTATGCAGTATAGTTTTTGAGACAAGGTCTTGCAAGCTGGGTTTAAACTTACTATGTAGTCCAGACTGGCCTTGAACTCACTATGATGCTCCTGCCTTGGCCTCCTGAGTGCTGGGATTATAGGCGTGCATGGGAGGTGTAGGTTTTTGTTTTTTGTTATTTTGGGGTTTTTTTGGTACCGGATATCGAAATTGGGATCTAGCACTTGGGAAGCATACGGCGGAACCACTGAGCTAAATCCCTGGCCCACAGTGTAGTCTTAAACCTTAAATTTTTTATTATGGAAGTGGAGGATCAAGGAGAGAGACTTGCCCAAGATTATAAAGTTATTAAAGGATGGATCAGACTTTAAATGCAAGGTCCATGCTCTTAACTCCAAGCTCCATGTTCTTACTCTATCATATTTTCTGTGGTATATTTCATACAGAAAATTATACCCACTCTTAATATAGCAAATTGTACCCTGAGTGCTTCTCTTTTTTTGAGGTTACTTTTCAGATTTTCTTCCCTAAGTTATCTGCATAATGTCTAAATGAGATCCTTATAAATACTTAACATCTAGTGTTTCATTGTGATTTTTAAAAATTGGCAAATTGTTTTTGTGAACTTCTAACTTATTGCACTTGCTTTATTAAAATGGCAGTGTTTTGTAGTTTGTCTGTATGTTAAGTTTTTTATTTATGCATGTCACTTATATCCTTGTTTTCTGTTTTAAATTTTAGGTTCTTGGGGGTTTTCTCTATCTGTGAGTATTTGGTTAAAAACTTAAACCCTAAAGATAAAAGGCAGAAAATAGTGACCAAACGAATGGTTTTGGCACATACAGTGGTGAAGGCCTCCTTCAGGTAGGTAGAGAGGAGGAGGGATGAGAGGGTGGCCTTTTAAAGTTGTAAAGATAGCTTTATGTGTTACTGTGGAAGTTGAATGCCCCCCCACAAAGCCTTTTTATAGATATCTGCTAGATTATTGGGACTAAAGTAGGTAGTTTGTTTTGGGAGGCATTGCCGAGAATGTTAGAAACATCTTAAACAGCTTTCAAAGCCAGATGCTAACAGTAGATAGTCATTAGAGGTTACAATGTGTTTTTAATTTAATAGAATGTAGATGTTTGATCAGTTGTGTTTTAGGAGTAATTTCTGCAGTTTCAAGTCAGAAGGCTGTCTAGAATACTATTGAAATACAATGGTACCTTGGTTTATGAACTTTATTTGTTTACTATCTTGGGAAAGATGGCCACATTTGTTTGTGTGGGAAAGATGGCCACAGCTGTATTTGTCACTTAATGCGGAGTTTGCAAACAAGCCAAATTTTGCCAAATGCTTCTGCTTGCGAACCAGATTATTTGGATACAAAAACGTTAGTGAACCCAGGGACTATCTTTTCAGGTGATAGGTACTTGAATTTTATTATTACAAGTTTTTTCGATACTAGGGATCAAACTCAGGAACATTCTACCATTAATAAAGTTATATCCCCAGCCATTTATTTATTTATTTTTGTTTGTTTGTTTGTTACCGGGGATCAAACTCGGTCTTTGTGCTTGTGAAGCAGGCACTGAAACCACTGAACTAAATCCCCAGCCCTATTTATTAATTTTTTTGAGACAGGGTTTCACCTTTTTTTTTTTTGAGACAGGGTCTTGCTATGTAGTCCAGGCTGGCGTTGGACTCATTATGTAGCCCAGGCTGGCCTCGAGCTCACAGCCATCTTCCTGCCTGCCTTCTGAGTGCTGGGAATCTAGGTGTGCATCATCACACCCAGCTTCCAGACCTTTTAATTTTTTTTTTTTATTTTACTTATTTCTTATTTATTTTGGTTTTTTGAGACAGGATGTCCTCTGTAGTTCAGGCTGGCCTCAAATTCAAAGTGATCCTCCTGCCTCAGCCTTCTGAATGCTGGGATTAAAGGTGTGTGTCACTATGCCTGGCTCCCTTTTTAATTTTTATTTTGAGACAAAGTTTGACTAAGTTGCCCAGGCTGACCTCAATTTGTGATCCTTCTGCCTCAGTCTCCTGAGTAGCTGGGATTACAGATCTGCACCTTCATGCTGGGGTATGGTTTTGAAAATATACTTCTCTCTCTCCACAACATTACTATTGTGTGAAAATAAGGAACATGTAAGAAATACAAGATTTTGGCCTCCAGTTCAAACTTACTGAGTTAGAAACTCTGAGGGGGTACCTGCATTATGTATCTTAACAAGCCAAATGATTCTGATGTATGCCAAAGTTAGACAACCACTTCTGTGGGTATGGGTGGTAGAAATAGAAAGGAAGTGTGAGGGTCGGGGATTTAGCTCAGAGGTTCTGCTGCCTGCCTTCCAAGTGCATGGACCGGAGTTCGATCCCCGGTACCAAAAGAAAGGAAGAATTAGAAGCAAAAACATATTGGCAGTAAAGGTCTGAACCAAGAAAATGGGTAGCATGATGGAAAGAATGCTAAATTTGGGATCATGAGCTTGAGTCATAGCATCAACTTTTTTACTGATGGTAGGTTTTTTGTTTTTTGTTTTGGTGTAGTACTAGGGATAGAACCCAGGATCTTGGCACTGAACTATAATCTCTAGCCTTTTTTAATTTTTATTTTGAGATAGAGTCTCACCAAGTTGCCTAGGTAGGACTAGAATTTTTAATCCTGCCTCAGCCTCCAAAGTGCTGGAATTACACTGGTGTACCATGCCCATCCCAGCTCCAACTATAGTTTTAGACAACAGAATGGACTTTGGAGACCAAAACAATGAAGAGTTAAGGTATACTGAGGATTAAACCTGGGTTACCAGGAAGACTAGAATTTTTGAAAAAGGGAAGGAAGAGAGCTGCCTGCCTTGCAAGCTCAAGGTCCCAAGTTTGATCCCCGATACCAAAAAAAGAAAAAAAAAGAAAAAGAAAAAGGGAAGAGAGAATGTGAGATGTTTAAACAGTTGGAAATGTTTCAGATTTATTTATTTTTTTGGCTTTTTAAGGTGCTCTCTCAGTGGTCTAGGCTAGCCTTTCCCAGTGCTGTGCAAGTATGCACCATCACACTTAGCCAGCAGATTCATTTAAAACAGGGATTCTCAACTGAGGGTGACTTTGCCCCACAGGAAACATTTAGTAGTATTTGGAGCCCTTTTTGATTATTAGACTTGGGAGAGTGCTCTACTAAGTATTTTGAGGGTTGGCTAAGGATTTTGCTAAAAACATCCTGCAATGCACAGAACAAAGAATTAGTGGTCCAAAATGTTAATAGTGTTAGATTGACAAACCTTGATAAAAAGGGAAATAATCTGATAGGTTTGATCTATATTTTCTTCTTGATTGTCTCCTGCTCAGTTAGTGTTCTAAGTCTAACATAAAACATCCTAAAAGCAGTCTCAGATTTGTTTTTCAGGGCTTTGCCCCAAAATAAGCAAGAAATGTTAAATTTTCATAAAACTAACTTCATAGTCATTTCAGGCTTCAACCGAGTTATACATTTTTTCCTTATTACTCATATATATATAATATAT